ATCTTATGTGGCAAAAAATGGGTCCTATTAGTCCTAGGTCATTTTCAAAAATCTCATTTCCTCACAAAACCGACCGCCGCTAGACCCTCTCTTCCCCCCGAAACTGACCGCTCGACCATCTCTCCCCTGACTGAGCTCTCTCACGACCGACCACCGGTTTTTCTCTCCAATCACCTCTCGCCGACCGCCGGCTTTTCTCTCCGATCAGTCACCAACCTCACGACCGACCGCCGGCTTTCCTCTCACCTCTTTCTCTCTCTCTCCGATCCACTCTCCGATCTCTCTCATCTCGGCCGACCGACCACCTCACCAAACACCGACTGTTCATCAAAAACCGACTCCGTTCCCACTAAAACCGACCAAAAACTGACCCCGACCACTCACCAAATTCCCGAACACAAAAACCGACCACCTGCTCACCAAAATCCGACTAAAATGGCATCAAAAACCAGCTCTTCTTCCTCAACTAAAACGGTCATTTCCCGAACAGTTGTCGACGAGGCAACGGAATCTGCCGAGGTAATATTCTTGTTTTACTTTTTCTTATATATTTTTGCAAGAACACAAACTTAATATAAGCAACATTGGTCTGTTCATAGTCGGTTCTTAGTCGGTTTTGGTTCTGGTCTGTTCTCAGTCAGTTCTAGGTTGGTTTTAAGTCGTTTCTGGTGGTCGGTTCTTAGTCGGTTCTTGTCGAGTATGGTCGGTTCTGGTCGGTTCTTGGTGAGGTCGGTTCTGGTCGGTTGGTGGTCGGTTCTTGGTCGGTTCTTGGTCGGTTCAGGTCAGTTTTGGTCGGTTCTGTTCGGTTTTGGTGGGTTCTGTTCGGTTTTGGTCGGTTCTGTTCGGTTTTGGTCAGTTCTGTCTGTTTGGTCGGTTCTGCGGGGATCTCTCATCTCGGCCGACCGACCACCTCACCAAACACCGACTGTTCATCAAAAACCGACTCCGTTCCCACTAAAACCGACCAAAAACTGACCCCGACCACTCACCAAATTCCCGAACACAAAAACCGACCACCTGCTCACCAAAATCCGACTAAAATGGCATCAAAAACCAGCTCTTCTTCCTCAACTAAAACGGTCATTTCCCGAACAGTTGTCGACGAGGCAACGGAATCTGCCGAGGTAATATTCTTGTTTTACTTTTTCTTATATATTTTTGCAAGAACACAAACTTAATATAAGCAACATTGGTCTGTTCATAGTCGGTTCTTAGTCGGTTTTGGTTCTGGTCTGTTCTCAGTCAGTTCTAGGTTGGTTTTAAGTCGTTTCTGGTGGTCGGTTCTTAGTCGGTTCTTGTCGAGTATGGTCGGTTCTGGTCGGTTCTTGGTGAGGTCGGTTCTGGTCGGTTGGTGGTCGGTTCTTGGTCGGTTCTTGGTCGGTTCAGGTCAGTTTTGGTCGGTTCTGTTCGGTTTTGGTGGGTTCTGTTCGGTTTTGGTCGGTTCTGTTCGGTTTTGGTCAGTTCTGTCTGTTTGGTCGGTTCTGCGGGGATTTTGGGTCGGGTCATGGTCGGTTCAGTCGGTTCTTGTTGGTTTCTTAGTCTATTCTAGTCGGTTCTGTCATTTTGGTCGGTTCTGACCGGTGTGTTTTTTCTTTTTTTTCAGTATGACCTCCCAAAGTACAACACAGGTGAACTTCCTGGGATCGGACATCTAAAGATGATCATGGATCCTGTGCGGCAGTATTTCCCAGTGAAAGTGACTATGAAGTCAAAGATCGAGGCTTTGGAGGTAATCAGGCAGAATCTAGACCCCGAAACAGAAATGCCACTTTTCAAGGAGTCTGCCTTCGGACATTTTATTTCGATGTCTGAAAATATGATATATTTTGGAGTATTGACACAATATCTGCTTTTGAGGCGGATAGAAACAAAAAAGAGACATGAGTTGTGGTTCATGGTTAATGGAACCACAACTCAGTTTGGAATGAGGGAATTTACATTAATTACTGGATTGAACTGCGGGCAAACTCCAGAGCCGGACGTGATCTTGACCGAGCGGGAAACGTAAAATTTGGGGGCAAAATTTCAGAAATGGAGAACATACAAAGATAGAGAAATGCTAACCTCCTTGGGTAACCGAGCTTCGCGTAGGAGGACAGCTTCATGTGCCTTCGATCTGCCTTCCACGACCCAGTCTATTTCAAAATCACGTCGAGGCCGGAATCAGAGCATAACCTTCCGGTCAAGCAAAGCAAATCAATTTGGAAGCATAACGGGGAAATTTTGGAATTTGGGGGAAAGAGAGGAACGAGTGAGGTGGAATCGAGTGAGTTTTCTTTTTCCTTGGCCGGGTAAATGCCTCTTTGTCAGAATAGGAGAAGTGAGAATTAAAAAATTTAAATAAAATAGTATGTGTGAAAAGAAAAATGAAATGATCAGGAATTAATAATTCTATAAAAAATAGTTTGAGGTAATTTAGAATAATAAGGGTGTGTAATAAGTAAATTTAAATATTTTAAAATTATGTGAGGTGTGTGTTTAGAAAGAGAATTTAGAGAATAAAAAGAGATGTGTGAGTAGTACCATCCTTGTATAAATCATACCTTACAATTATTTGAACCGATATTATCAAAAAAATTTTAAAAAATCATAATCAAAAAATATTTTGGTACCTTTTAAAAATAACAATATCGTTGACATTTATATCCATGGGGACAGCTTATCCTTAAAAATTGACTTGTAAAGTCACTCACAATTCCACAATTGTGCAGATACTAAAAGATATATATATATATATATATATAGAAAAATACTAAAAGATTTTTTTCTTTAGAACATGCCATGATTGAGATAAATTGTTGTTTCTAATTAAAATTCAAAGGTTGGTACAGATTACACTAGGCATATATATAATACACGTGCTGAAGTACGTGAGGATTGGCTAGTCAAGTTGAATCATAATTTTCTTATCTAACTAGCGTGTCACGTCCCTTTTTTTTTTAAGAGAGAAGAATAATAATTGATATTGATATTAATTTTTTTAGGAAGATATTGATATATTTTTTTTACACTCAAAAAAATATGGTGGTGCACTTCATGTCCACGACCCCTTCGGTTATAGAAATAACTCTAGAGACCACCGAGTAAGTAGAAAAAGCATGAACTAGTTTTTCACTGCCCATCCAACCAGTTTTCACTCTCCTCCATCCAATAATGTCTGTGGAGGCCAACTTAATTTCCCACAAGGAATAGGATAACAACGCGCAGGTGAGAAAGATATTAACATTATTATTAGTATTAAACATTTAAATTATGGATATACGTTTACAAATGAATATTAAAGATAATTAGTATTAATATATTATTACATATCAATAAAAATCAATTAAAAATGTACTTTTCATATATCAACATAAGATATTACTCTTAAAGTCCTTTAGTATTGACATATTATTACCCATAAATAAAAGGGTAGTTCTATTCACACACCATTTTTTACTCTCTACACTCTCTTTTAATTATAATTTCTTGTTAAAAAAAGACTCTCATGTAAAATAAAAAAAAAAGATAATTATAATAGACTTAATTATATAATTAAATTTTATTATAAAAATAGTGATATTTTATTTTTTTCCCTTAACACACCTCATATGTCATATTCTCAAATTTACAAACAATTGCTATTCTGAAAAATTACATAAAAATATGTTAAATTTTCTTTACTACTTGTTCTATGGTGATTGTTCTTTTGCCCTTTCTTTCGTTTTGTGTTAATGTTTTTTATTTTTCTAATTATTTCATTTTTAAAGGGATAAATCATTTTGTTTTATTTTCTTTTTCATTTCTTACAAAGTAGAATTGATTTTTTTCCCATTTTGTTCTTTTTTATGCTTATTATGCACATTTATTTGTTTTTCATTCTTTTTCCACACTACAAGAAACAGGGTTATTAACGAAGACGAAAAGTAATTGCAAAAAACCCAAGGTCGTCAAAAATATTTTTTTTTCCGACGACTTGATGTCGCCGCAATTGATTCATTGGAAAAAAAAATTTTTGGGACGACATATTGTCGTTGCAATTGCATTTGCGACAACAAACGTCGCAAATGAGTCGCTGCAATTATTTCGTCGATTGCATCATGAAGATGACATGACATTAGTTATTTACGACGACCATTCACAAATTATATCGTTGCAAATAATGGCGAATTAGCTGACGTGCCATTAAATGTTTTGCGACCACATTTGTCATCATAAATATTATTTTAATTTTTAATTTATTTTTTCACATTTTAATAATTAACGTTGTATATTACTATATATTTAAACCCAATATTAAATATAATTCATGATATTATAATAATAAAAAAGAATTA